AAACTAACGTCAATTACCAGAAGTCTAGGATTAAAGCTTCATATGTATCAACGTTACGTAGATGACATCAATGTAGTCATGGAAGTACCTGAACTCGGAACGAGATACATAGATGGAAAACTGTCWATCATAGAGGACGAGAAAAAAGTAGACAGAAGAAAGAAACCAGATGAAAGGTCCATGCGTCTAAAAATTATTTTGTCTTCCCTGTAAAGCTGYTAATGCCACATACAAGATTAAATGCACTGAGTGCAACCAGACGTGCATAGGAGAGACAGCCCGCARCACATATACAAGAGGAAAAAAGAACATTTGCGGGAGATGGACTCCAAAAATRAAGGATCAGTATTGTGGAAACATTCTAAAGAGAAACATTAGGGAACTGTACCAAACTACACGTGCAATGTAACAGCATTGTTTCAGAGGGATGCACTACTCAGACGAGTAAGCGAAGCGGTAAAGATTAACAGAGAACGACCAAAAATGAACACTAAGAACAAATGGAACTTTATCAACATTCCGGGCGCAACAATCAATTAATTTGATTAAAGCGCGCGCCCTCTTAGTGTTTGTTCGCGTGATTGTAATATTCCTAACGGATTATTATACAGTGGACTGAAGAGGTTGAATTAAACGAAACTAGTTTCCACTGAATATTTATTTGTCGTTTTGGCGTACGTAGAAAAGATAATTCAAGTTAGGGATTTACACCTAAAGAAAACAACGTACTAGAAATAAAGCAGTCTAGTTTCAAATCAGGTGCCTTGTAACTTCAGCAAATTAAAGTAGGCTTGCTTTGACAAACTAAGTTAAGACTTCATTGACCTACCCATTTTGGTTGCTCTTTGTTATTTTCAAACGAACAGTTTCATATTTAGTTTTGTTTTTAGTTAATTTAAACGTTTTGCTATTTACTTTGTACCAGATATGTTTTTTGATTTAAATAGTGATATTTTTACATGTAGCTTTTAAGCTTTTAGCTTTTCGAAGAGAATTTTAAAATACAGGAGTTTTGTATTTTTTTTTTAGAGAACCCATTAAAGGTGAATAAATGAAAACAACAAAATCTCAGTATGTATATAAATAAACGTAGTTAACCAAGTTCTGCTTGTGATGGTTTGGTTACGTAAATATTCTCATATAGACACTTTAGCACTGTGGTTTGATATAGACCCTACGTCCGTTATCCGCATTATTTACAGGACGTTACCAGTAAGTAATGTGGAGATATTTTCAAAATCAAATCACCTGGCCCGAACCTCGCGGAGTGGAGAAATCTAATGGGCAGCTGGCCAGAGTTACCAAATGCCGTCGGTGCTATAGATGCAACCCCACATGAGATTTATTTCCCTCTGGCGGAGCAGAGGCCATAGGCACTATCACCGCCTAAACACTCAATGCGTACTATGCGCGTGCAGAAAATCAAGCGATCAAATAAATGATACCATTGGATGATATTTTCAGAATAGATTCTAAAAATAGCATCAAAGTGTGCACATGATGGGGCACGGGGATTCCTTCTCTTAGTTCATATTCTCTTGGTAATGGATAATGAGGGCCATATTCGGTTTCTTCAGGCTGGCTTCTTGGGTAGCACACATGATGCGACTGCTTAYAGGTTAATGCAGCCTATAGGGCCCGGTTTAGTCCTAGATTTTCCGCCAGGTGTTAAACTGTTGGCCGATAGAGGTTATCCTGATGGAGGAGCTTTACTAACACCTGTTCGTGCAGGGCAAATGCCTCTGTTAAACCAAAGAGGGAGGAGACGTACCAGAAAGTTCAATCGAGCTCTATCGAAAAGAAGAGTCAAAATAGAGCATGTGTTTAAAGAGATAAAAACTTTTAAAGCGGTATCACAGATATGGAGACAACCACGTTGGTTGCTGCCTATCTGTGTTGAATTAACAACATTTTTGGCTGAAAGACGCATACGGTTGTTTCAAAGACTGCACTGAGAACTGCCCATATCCTCTGCACGGTAAAAGTGAAACAAAAGCGCTGATGATAGTGAAAGGAAACTTGAATTATTGCAGCAAACGTTGGTCTACTCAACAAGCACGTAGTTCAAAACGGGTGGACTTTAATTTTTTTAGTAAATGCTTGAAGGACAAACAACGCCTGTTATGTTTCTATTGAACTGAGCTGAAGTTCGGCACAGAGATTGTGTTCATTTGAAAATATCTAAAGAGATTATTTAACAAATCGATAATTAAAACACTTATTTTGTTAGCATACATTTATATGATGTTTGGGGTTTGGAATGGTTAAGTTTTGTGGGAGTATTTGCAAGGATATATTTGGTTCGAAAACAGCTCATTTGAATATTAGCAAAATTCATTAGCATGTAAAAGTGCGACATACGAATTCGCTCTAATAGCTACAATTACCGGAAAACGAGCATCAAACTAGCATGACGAACGAGCAAAAAATGTGTAATTGTTTTTTGCTTTTGTTTTTAATTATGGTAAGATTACTCGTAGTTCTTTATACATGATATAAAGTAGCCATTTGCAAAAGCACTTTTTGAAGTCCACAAATTAAACAAATCTAAGAGTGTGACAAAGTTTATAGCTAAATAACATTGCTAAAATTACCGGAAAACGAGCATCAAACTAGCATGTCGAATGCGCAAAAAAGTGTGCATGTTCTGTTATTATAGTAAGAGTACTCGAACTTCTAACATGATTTAAAGTAGTCATTTGAATAAAAGCACTAAGTTTAGTAGTATAAGTATATGTCAGCGAAAGAACTTTTCATCGCGTACAATTCCGGGTCACTTCCGGTGATTTTGCTCATTTGCATACTATATCACGGAACGTCTGTCACATTTCATGCTAATTAACCTCGAGGAATTACGAAGAATAAGGAAGAATTCTTACTTTTCACTCTCGATCGCAATAAMGGGGAAACGTCAAGAAAAAAATGTAGCACCGGAAATAAGAGTTAATACAACRATAGATTAGTGTGCTTTAATTAATCTCACCTCTTACCTCTTGGTCGATCCAGCGATTTTCTTTGGGTGAATACTGTGTTAAAATGACGTACTTTTGTATGGAAAGTACGACAATGCCTTTAAGAAAAACCAAAGTGTGTGTCGTAAATGCCCTTCTGAAAAATATAGTACCGGAAATTTGACGTACATTCACTGCATGCCTTAAATGAATCCTGCATTTGCTTCTTTCGGCTTTAAATGTGATATGTGATTTTTGAAGTATTTGTTCAGTCACTGTGGAGGCTGGTTTTGCGATGACAACTCCAGAATCGCTCGAGAATTGCTTCAAATTTAAAATCGTTTTTATGATTCTTCGTCCGCCAGGTTCCTCGTTGGCTTGGGAAAAAAACGCTCTTATTCACCAGTTTCTATTGAAGGCGCCCATTTTTTTAAACCGAGCAAACCATGCCCGGGGGAGGNCTTTGTACCAGATATGTTTTTTGATTTAAATAGTGATATTTTTACATGTAGCTTTTAAGCTTTTAGCTTTTCGAAGAGAATTTTAAAATACAGGATTTTGTATTTTTTTTTTTAGAGAACCCATTAAAGGTGAATAAATGAAAACAACAAAATCTCAGTATGTATAAAATAAATAAATTACGGCATGGAAAGCGCTTTGTACGGGATTTTCCCACTCGTTGGTTTTGTATCTAAGATCTCACTCGTTCGCTGCGCTCACTCAGTATGTATAAAATAAATAAATTACGGCATGGAAAGCGCTTTGTACGAGATTTTCCCACTCGTTGGTTTTGTATCTAAGATCTCACTCGTTCGCTGCGCTCACTCGTTCGATTTGAGATACTTCACCAGCTCGTGCGAAAATCCCGTACGCGCGCGCTTTCCATGAAGTAATCTCTATTTATCGCATCGTTTATTATTTTTATTTTCAAGACTAGTACTTGGTGAATTTGATGTCCATTTGCTGAAATTTCTCTAAAATATAATTGTTCTCTTTCTTAAAATATCGTGACTTTCGACTTTCAATCTCAGTACTTTATCTACTTTACCTTAGTCAATATTCTTTAGGATTTGAATTGAGTGTAAATCAAATATGGAATTTTTATTTCAGGCTCTTACAACCTGATAGTGCCGAAACTTGAAGACAGCAGCGCACGTTTTGAAGATTCGACATGGGTGTATATCAATTTTCAAGATCACTACGAGTTGAATTTAAGTTGAATTTGTGCCATGCTTTTAAAATTTCGTTGTTGAATCCATATATTTTCGGGGTTTTCTTGGTGAAATTATTCATAAAAACAGAATTTAACCAGCTAAAATTCATTGAATGAAGCCGCCGAAAAAGCATTCAACATCTTACAAAGACGACGTCACAGCTACCAACCAATTAGCACGCGAGTTATTTTTACCTACCTAGCAATCTGATGGACCAATGATTTATTGAGAGTTGCACTCTCCTAGAAATTTTCCCCTGCCTCTATATCTTAGACAACATTCAGCCTATTAGTCTCTTTATATTAAGCTATATATTCTAGCGATCAAGAATAGCAGAACATGTTACAGGCTGAAGGTAGATATAATACTAATCAGTGTTGTAAGTTGATCCGTAAAACAGAAACGTACTGGAAAAGTCTAGTCTAAACAAGAACAAACGAAATGGTTAATATCGCAAGTTGCCGCAACAAATATATTCTTTCTCCAGTCTGTCAGCTGGCCATGCATGGCGAAAAAGAAGAAAAATTAATTAATTGATTAATAAAAAATAAGGAAGAGAAGAAGAAAGCTTGGGAAGAAAGAAAGACTCAAAAGCGTCAAAAGGTCCCCTTCTTAACAAGAATTATCTTCAGTAGAAAAAATTCAAACATTTTAAAATCAATAAATATTATATATATAACTGAGCAAAATATAGAAACAGGCACCACTAAGTAGAATTAATTCCTGTTCTTACAAGAAAATCCAGTTTGCAGTATTGTGGAAACACCGGCAGGCATATACTGAATATCAGCTGCCATCCATCTAAACCAGAATTAATGAAGAAGAAAATAAATCAAAACAGTTTCAGCTATAAATACGTCTGATTTTCTAATCCGAATCTCAGAGTGTTCAGTGGGAAAGTGGATCATTAGACGCTGACACTACATTATACCAGGTAATACTTTATAATCAGTCTATCGGTTGATCAGTATTATACTAAAGTCCAGTATATAGTGGCTTTGTAAGTCAATGTCCACTGCGGGATCAGTGATCGACGTTTAACTATTCCAGTTAACAGCAACTTCACAGAATGATGTTTATTTTATTTTCTTTCATTTCACGTTCAATTTTAAGGAAAAAAGTATGGTAGCTCTTCATCAAGTACTTGTTGTTGGCAGCAATTTGTTTACTACCAGAGTCAACCATCTCATGTCGCCAGTACAGAAAGGGTGGAGGCCGTAGCGTGTTCTGTCCATGTGCAGGCGACATGACTTGTGAAGCAGGCCATCACGTTTGTAGAAAGCCAGGAGGATTGGGAGATCCATGTCATGCTACAAGGCCTTGTGGTTCTGGACTACAATGTGAGGCAGGTCGTCAAATTTGCAGAAAGTATGGCGGGGACGGAGCTCAATGTCATGCAACACTGGAGTGTAAAAACGGATATGGTTGCTTGGCATTGTTCCATGTGTGCCGAAAAAGTACCCAAAGCCATGGCGAGCTATGTAATATGTTTAACAAGTTCTGCAAAGATGGCTTATACTGCGCTCACAGTAAGTTTTTGGCATTCCATGGCTTATATAAGCACACACGAATTTACTATTAATATTTTATTATTCTTGCATGTCTTTTCAGCTCATAGATGTGCCGGCTAGATAAAGCGGCTAAAGTAACCATGCTGCTCAGAACCTTCCACTAAGATGAACAAACTACTTCATATACTGTAAGATAGATAACGATA